TTGTTGCAACCAAGCACAACCCCGACGATATTTTTCCCTATGTCATGCACGTCACCCTTGACCGTGGCCAGCAGCACCACCCCCGCATAGGCGCTGTCGTCATTCGCTACCTCGGCAATCCCCTGCTCTTTCAGCCGCTCTTCTTTCTCCTTCTCCATGAAAGGCAACAAGTAAGCCACTGCCTTCTTCATCACTCGCGCCGACTTGATCACCTGCGGTAGGAACATCTTGCCGGAACCAAACAGGTCCCCCACCACATTCATGCCCGACATCAAGGGCCCCTCGATCACCTCTAAAGGCCGGGACACCAGCTGCCGACATTCCTCCACGTCTCCGTCGATGAACTCGTCGATGCCTTTCACCAGCGCGTGGGTGAGACGCTCCTGCACACCCAACGATCGCCACTGCGCTTGCGTTTGAGTCGCCTGGCCCTTGTTGGCCAAAGCTTTTTCCCGCTCCACCATGGAACGTTCTAAAAGCGCCTCTGTCGCCCCCTCGTGCCGGTTTAAAACCGCATCTTCTACCACCTGAAGCAAGTCTGGTGCTATGTCGCTGTAGACCTGCAGCAATCCAGCGTTGACAATACCCATGTCCATCCCTGCCTGCACGGCGTGGTACAAAAAGACACTGTGCATGGCCTCCCGGATCACGTTCACACCCCGAAAGCCAAACGACAGGTTGGAGACGCCTCCCGATATCTTTGCGTGGGGGCATTCCTCCTTGATTTTTTTGCAAGCTTTGATAAAATCCACTGCGTAATTATTATGCTCCTCGATACCAGTAGCGATAGTCAAGATATTCGGGTCGAAAACGATGTCTTCGGGCGGGAATCCTACTTCATTGACAAGCATGTCGTAAGATCGCTTACAGATGCGAATCTTATTGTACTCATCCGCGGCCTGGCCTTCCTCGTCGAAAGCCATCACCACCACGGCGGCCCCATGCGCCTTGACTATCGCCGCCTGCCGCTTGAACTCCTCCTCGCCCACCTTCAACGAAATGGAGTTGACGATACACTTCCCCTGCACCCACTTCAAACCCGCCTCAATGATCTCGAATTTGGAGGAGTCCACCATGATGGGCACTTTACTGCACTCCGGCTCCGTCATGGCGATCTTCAAGAAGCGTTGCATGGCCGCCAGCCCGTCCAGGAGGCCTTCGTCCATATTCACGTCCAGCACCATCGCACCGTCCTCCACCTGCTTCTTGGCGATGTCCATGGCCTTGGCGTAGTCGCCAGCCAAAATTAAGCGCTTGAAGAGCGGAGACCCGGCAATATTGCACCGCTCTCCCACGTTGAGGAATTGAAAGCGGTCTTTCGAGACGATCAAGTCCTCCAGGCCCGACAACCACATGTGCTGCTGCTTCTGCGCCACAGGTCGGGGGGGCTGTCCCTCTGTCATCTTGGCAATGGCATTGATATGCTCCGGGGTCGAGCCGCAGCAACCACCAATCATGTTCACCAACTGCTCCTTGACAAAGACCGAGTTATCGGCCGCCATGTCCGCCGGAGTGTCATCGTATCCGCCCATGGCATTGGGAAGCCCGGCATTCGAGTATACTGAGACGAAGCACTCAGCCACTTTACTCAGTCGTTGCAAGAAAGGTCGCATCTGCTTGGCGCCCAATGCACAGTTCAGGCCCACACAAAAAGGGTTGCAGTGTCGGACACTCACGTAGAATGCCTCCGTGGTCTGCCCGGACAGAGTCCGCCCGCTTTGGTCCACCAGAGTTCCGGAGACGATCAACGGCATTGTATCTTCCACTCCTCGCTCTTTGAAAAGACGTCGCACAGCAAAAATCGCTGCCTTGGCGTTGAGAGTGTCGAATATCGTTTCGATGATAATAAAATCGCACCCTCCGTCCAAGAGACCACGGGCCTCCTCGTAGTAGGCTTCGTCGAGTTCATCGAAAGTCACGTTACGCTTGGAAGCATCCACGACATCAGGAGAGATAGAAGCAGTTCGATTGGTCGGTCCGATAGAGCCACCCACGAATCGCGGCTTGTCAGGCTCCTCGGCAGTAACTTCATCGGCCGCCTCTCGCGCGATACGAGCAGATTCAACATTGAGTTCGAACGCCAATTTTTCCATGTCATAATCAGCTTGGGCAATGGTGGTAGAGGAAAATGTGTTCGTTCCAATCAAGTCCGCACCGGCCTTGAGATATTTGCGGTGGATCTCCTTGATGATGGCAGGCTGCGTCAGGGAAAGTAAGTCGTTGTTCCCGCGTACCAGCTTGTGGTAATCCTTGAACCGCTCCCCCCGATAGTCCTCTTCCGACAGCCGATGTTTCTGAATCATTGTGCCCATCGCTCCATCGTAAATTACGATGCGCTCCCGGAAGAGCTTATGAAAGTAGGCTAGGGTGGAGTCTCGCCCACGGACGAAGCGTGGATAGTCAGGAGCTAAGTCTGGGGACGTCACCGCAGCCATCTTTGTACCTATTAAATTTCCTATGTGGATGGCACAACACAAACAATGAGTGCATGGTCGCCGCATACGGTGCATTTGAAGCTTGAAAGAGAAGGAACGGGTACGAATGACTATGGGTAGGACGGGCTCTGGCTGAGTCAAAGAGCGAAACGCCCGGAGCGACGGCAGCTATGGTACCAACCACATTCCAGAATCGAGCAAATAAACATTCAACAAGGAGAAGCCACGTACACAATTTAAGAGCATGTGTCTCGACATGCATGCGCAACAAGGGGCACGAAATCTTTTCACCCCTTCTTCGCGGTGAAAGAGATGCTTTTGCGATGGGATATACACCTTCCACGATGAAAGAGGATCTCGTCTCGTGACCTAGCACGTGTGTTGCCTAAACCTTCCAAGGACCGAGCGCACTAGGACCCAGACAAGCACTCCCCCGCCAAGAAGAGCACAGCACATGCACATGCGGTCCTCCAAGACGTCTGAATGGGACACGGGGCCCCGTTCGGAGGCATCGTGGCCTCGTGTGCATCGGAGGGCGCTCGCTCGGCTGGAGCCGCTCAGGGAGGGCGAGGTCGAGGAGGAGGTTCGGGGACGTTGCTGTCCCTCCCTTCTCCTCCTTTCCCCCCCCATGAATGCCCGTGAATCCTGCTCAAAACATATTCATCTTGGCCTCTGGCCATTGGTTGCCTTTCGAGAGTGCTTTTGGGTGCTTCTATCCGATTTCTGGGAAGGTGTGTTTACTCTTTTTTCGATCGCATATTATTTCTCTCTCAAGACAAACCCGCTCACGCTGATGAGCGCCGAACCCCTTGTCCAAAAAGCCGTGGACGTCAATTGTAGTGGCAGCGTGATGGACGGGGACACAGAAGGTAGTTGTAGCAGCAAGCCGACAGATGGTGAGACCGACAAGGTATGGCATATTTAGTTAGTTCACGGGTGGGGTAAGGATACATGAGATATGGCTGCTACAAGACGAAAAAACTCTTCATGAGGCAATCCATGTGTTCGTATGTCATCGCAAGAAGTGGATTTGTATGTGATATACGTATGCGCCCTGGGACTCTTTACCAGAATAGAGATTGTTAAGCACCCTGAGATGAGATACGGGGGTTTCTTGCGGACTTGAAATGAAATACGCGCACCTGTCTGCACACGTATCATCGTGGTGGGCGGTACAGCGTCCTTTTCAAAATTTAATATCATGGCAGAGTACATATTTCGGTACATGTGTATTAGGTCTCTTGTTAGAGACGAACGTCTATCGCTAGGACAAGTTATGTGGAATGTCACATCTTCCGGCTCAGCTCTCTCTTGCACGCTCATTCCACATCTATATTTTAGCATGTGTTGCAAAATAGGTGGTCCTTCTTCTACAATAACCCAAAGGCCAACCCAATGCTGTCTTGGGAGGAAAAGCTTCAGAAAATCTACACGTTCGAGACGGTGGAAGATTTTTGGGCCCTGTTCAATTCCGTTGTCGGCCCTTCCCGCTTGAGTATACAGGCCGACTATTATCTGTTTAAAGAGGGAGTCCGGCCCTCATACGAGGAGAATCCTGAAGGTGGCGTGTGGATGTTTAATCTGGAAAAGGGAAACAAGAAGCGCTTGGAGGAGGTCTGGTTGTATCTAGTCCTAGGTCTGATCGGAGAGACGATGGAGGATTCTAACGACATTCTGGGAGCTGTCGTGAGCATCAAGAGGGGACAAGACAGGCTGTCGCTATGGACGAAGACTGCCGCGGACAAGGAACTGCAAGTTCGGATTGCTACGAGGGTGAAGATGAGCTTGGACCTGCCACCGGAGACCAAATTGGAGTTTAAACCAAATCAGAAGGTGAGGCAGAGAGATGAATGCCAGATAAGGGGTTAAGGGTCTTGTAGAAGTCCACATGGTTGCATTTAGCCGCTTATCGTTGAATCAAGGCGTACTCAATTGTTAAATTTCTCATTTTATGCTGCAGGTGGCCGAAGCGGGGGGCTCCATGTCATCAGCGCAGGACGTGAAGGGCTACACTGTATAACCCTTGACACCCTACCATACAGTATTCAAATGCAAACGGAGAACCCCACATTTCTGCAGTTGACCGGGTTCGGAGCGTGCTGAAATTTGTACAGGCATAACGAAAACAAGGAACCCCGCACACTCTGCTGCATAAGTTTGGAAAGAATTTGTGCGGAAGGATCGATTGACGTGCCATATCACTTGTTCTTGTTAAAAATGACAATTATTTGTGAGCTTCCTTAATTTCAAAAACTCATAGCCTACTCGGAGTAGAAAGGCAGGCATGCGTTGAATGTCTGCATGGCGCGTTCTTCTCTCATTGCGTCACACAGCATGTCTTCGTGTTGTATTCTTTTATGAGTTTGGCATTGGAAGATACCATTTCCCTGATGGTCAGTCGTAGCGGTGTGAGAAGAAAGCCATTCCTTCAGGGGAAATGGGTCTCTTTCGAACATGGGACATTATGATCATCTTTCAGAAAGGATACCCGGCGTCTGTCGAGTCCCCATCACTAGCAGGGACAACGTTGCGGATAATTTTACCGGGCGTCTCGTGTTTAATTTCACACCACAGACAGGGCGGAAATGGCGTCATTGCACATCGTCAAGAAAACTCTTCCTGGGAAAGTGTCAGTCCGAAAGACGGACTTATTGCCCTGCCCTGCCGACAGCTTCAAGTCGGAAGACAATGTACTGCTTCGCGGTCCCACGCGGCGGATTTGTCTGGTTTGCAAGTCTAAATCCTCGGCATATGCCTGCCCCCGTTGTAGCACGCCTTATTGCTCCGCAGTTTGCTACAAAGGGCACAATCAGGAATGCACGGAAGGTTTCTACCGGCATCACGTCGAGGAAGTAATACGTCTTCGTCAGGCGGAGGAGGTTGGAGCAGGCATACCTCCCGGGGGCAAGGCGGCGAAACTTGCCACGATCAACGCTTTAAGGCGCGTCCGACTACAGGCTGATGAGACGGAAGCATTTTGCTCTGGCGTGGGAGGCGATCGCCTGGAGGAGTTGTGGGCACGGAAAGACTCGTTGGACCTAGAAGCGTTAACACGGGAAGAGCAACGCGCCTTTTTAGCGTCGGTGGCAAACGGGGATTTGTCGAGAGACATTGAGATTTGGACACCGTGGTGGACCCAGGGAGGAGTGTCTGAGGGAGGTCAGCCGTTGGTGAGGGTGGAGAGAGACGGTCTTGGGTCCGACGGGGGAAACAGCCAAGGCGGGAAAGGAGGCGCTACCTCCGATAGGCCGATAGATTTCACGTCTTTGCACGAAGAGCTCCAGCGTCTGAAAAAGAGGATGGGTTTTCCCGTCCAAAGGCCTTTCCTCACCTCCAGTGTCTCTCCACATCTCCCTTACCATCTACTCGACATTTTGTTCGCCTACACTTGCGTCCTTCGCACGTACAATGGGGCTTGCGGCCTCGTCCCGGAAGATGCAGCCGACGACCTCCTCGCTCTCTCGCCCGTTTTGCGTTACCGTCTTCGGACGGGAGCGGAAGCGGGGCTGGTCCGACTCGAGTCCGCGCGCGGGGCGCTTGCCAGTTCCTTGGAGGCACTGCGGCGATGGCAATTGCTGCAGGGTCCTGCGCCCTGCGCTTCGTCTACTGGAATGTCGAGCTCGTTGGCCATGGGATTGGCCGCGGGTCGGGACGTGGTGTTGCTCCTGGAGCACAAGGTGAAGACACAGGCGGCTTTGGTGGATGCTTGCCGCTTAATGCGGGCGGCATTGCGGGAGGCACTCGCCCAGGGGGCGCCGAAAGCAGAGATCGAGGGGCAGGAGAAGCCCGGCGGGGAAGTTGACGAGCTTCATTCATTGACCGAAAAATTGAGGCAGCTCGCATCGGGTAAGACAGCCGAAGACTTGGGGAAGGAGGGGAGAGCGAAAGCGCGGCATGGGGGAAAGCGGTGGTTACGGGCCTGGCACAAGCTACGCTTCTTCTTGGAATGGTCTTGTTCATGGGACGGAGAGCATCATGAGGACGGACAGGAGGTAGTAGGGCGAGCTTTCCGTACGAAGTTTGAACAGGCTTTGCATGAACACGAGCTGTTGCTCGTTCGAGGTGAAGTTTGAGGAAGGAAGAAGGGTACGACGGACGTTCTTTGAGAGAGTCACACGCTTTATAGACCACAGTTGACAGTGTACGAAGTGTAAAATGCCATGAACATAAAGGGAAATTTGAGGAACATGACAATGTTGTGGAATGTGTGGAGGACACTACTGAATATGATGGGACAGTCGCTCTTAAACGTTCACAAAGAATTCCATGACTTTCTTCTTGTCCGAGATATTTCATGCATTTATCGTAGGTCTTGAAACCTCGGTGAAGGAGGAGATGTAATTTTTGAGCGCCAGTGCCTTATTACGCAGCGCAAACATCCGAAAACCCCTTCTACTTCTTGACTGCACACCCGGTAACCGGATTCGAAAATTGCACGGCATATTAAATTTTCCCACTAAAAAATGAAGTTGCTTAGTTAATCGATTGATCATGCCGTGAAAATCTCCCCATATGGACGTAATTACACCAACACACTCGATCCGCAGCAGGGAGGAAAGGTATGAGTTTAAGCGAACCAATTGGAAGAAAATGTCAAAGCCAGAGTCTTTGTGCACGATAGATAAGCCTCAAGAGGGATTGGAAGGGCAACAGGATGAAGAGCGGAGAGCGAGCGGACAGGATTGTAAATTTCGTATTGTAATCAGTGGGGCAATGCGAGTTTTGACGGCCAAAGCGCCGACTCAGGCTGTCCAGCACCGAAGAACGTCAAAGCGTGCGTGCGCCTCAAAAACAAAACGTGATGTTGGCTTGTTACCGCCTGCGTGGCGACACATTTTTCCTTTCATTTTAAAACGACTAAGCGATGCCTTTTGTCGCAGTCCCTGGGGCGAGGGGCGTGTGGTTTTGGTTTTTAACACCCCGGCAGGGCTGGTCAGACGGCGATTGCCGAAGGCCGTCGAATGCTTCGGTACAGAGCGGGATCGGTTTGAATTCTGGTCATTTTCCACGCGAGAATCCCTGCGGAAAGGCTTCTGCGTGGGGTTTTTCGTCCATGTCCGTCATGTCGTGGAGTAATCTGAAAGACTTAAATCTTAAGGCTTGCGCACTTTATGCGGATTCCGAAATTTGTCTTAGAAATGAGTGGCGGACCATCCTTAACTGTTGCTGTGCAGGAGCATTCTACGCCCCTCCTTCCTGGCATAAATTAGTCCCCGACGGGGTAGAGATGGAGGCACATTTTGCGTCAAAACACTGACAATTCACGAGTTGTTGAGTTCATATCTATCCTAGAGCCACAATGTTGTTGGTTTGGGATTGTAGCGAATCGGACCTCGACAACCGCATTCCCAATTTCAAATTATGTTCAGGAAATCCTGTGCCTTAACTTTCCCCAACCTTATCGAAATCATTCACAGGTATGGGGCGTCGGCAGCCGCAACATCCACCAGCACCCACCGCGCAGGCTGTCGCTGCTACCAGAGCTGTCGAAGAAAGCAGTGGCAACAAGCCACGGGCATCATCTCGGGGGCCTACCCCGACGGTCCTGACTACAAATTACACCGGCAGCAGTGGTACGGCCAGCATAAGTCGAAAACGGAACACGAATGCCATTGGGGGGATCGAAGGTGTGGCGGGAGGTACCCAGAAGAATTTAAGCGTCAGCATAATGAACGGGTCAGAAGACGGGGCGGATGCATCGCCGAGGTTCATGCTGGACTCCAAGCGTCACGCGTTCTTTCCCAGCGATGCCTATCTCCACGAGTCTTTGCGCTCCTCTCCACGACACAACCGGCGGCTCATCCGTTTTGAGGACACGGAGAGGTGTTTCTGGGAGCTTGTGTTCACCCGACACGACCGTCTCCGCCATCTCTTGGAGGACGTCTGCCTTAGCAGCGGCTCCCGGGCCCGGCAAATGGCCCGCATCCACTGCGCAACCCTGGTCAACGATCTTGTCTTCGTCGGACTCGATGTCCACGAGAATGTCCTTGCTTTCCACCGCACCGAGCGCCTGACTGCCTTTCTGGAGGAGCTGGAAGGGCGAGTGGGGCCCAACCCCTCCGTCACGGCCGTCGAGGAATTCGTCCGAAACTGTCGCCCTGACTTCTCTCCCTACCTCTGTGCACCCCCTCAAGAGAAGGGCGACGCTGAGTACGTGCTCTTGGGCGAGCGCGGCTCTGATCGTTGGCTCGAGCTGCGGGCCTCGGTATGCGCAGATTGCTACGCCACCCACTTGACCAACGGCCTCGCGGTGGACGTGACAGGCCTGAAATACAATTCAGACATCCAAGAGCTGTACGCGCGTCTCGAGGATCTCGTCCCTCAGTGCAAGTCCGCGGACGTGACCCTCCGCCTCCTCTTCCACGATGGTGCGGATGCCTTGGCCGAAGTGACCGTGGCTCGGGGCTGGAACCAGGAGGAAGGGCGGCAGGAATGGGTGTGTGTGCCTCGCTACGCGGCGGGGGGAACGCGCGTGGACCCCCACATATTCGACCCGGGAGACACCCTGTGTTTGCCTCAACTGGCCGACCTCGGCATGTTCCTCCCGACCACGGAAGTCGTGATTTGCACGCGCAATTGCCTCCATTCGACGCTCGGTAAAGCCGCCTCCCCCACTGGCACGGGATCCATCCTGGCCCCCAGGGCGCACGACGACTTCCCGTACGCTGCCTCCTCTTTGGAGAAAAGTCTCGGCATCCCACAGGGCAATCCTCCGGGCAGCATCTCCAAGCCACCGAAACGGACTTCCAGCAACAAGCGAGTCACCGCCAAACCCAAGAAACCAGGGTCCACCGGGGAGAACGATGGCTATGGCCCCGACCTGGCACCTCTTCCCCCCTTGACCAAGGTGTCGTCCCTGTTTCCCTCCGACTGCCCTCAAACCAGCCTGGATGCGTTTCCCTTCCCTGAAATCGAGCCGGGACCAGTCCATTTCGCCGGGGCGGGGGGGGCAAGACCGGTAAAAGCAAGCCCACCAAACGGTACACTTGCTGCGCTCCTGGCTGCCTGCAATCGGCTACTTTTAAACCAGCGGACGAACCCCGCTCCAAGAACAACATGGTCTGCGTCCGGCACGCCCGGAAGGGTATGTCCTGCATCAAGGGCCCGCTCTGCGACCATCCTGACTGCGTCCACGAGGAGGTCTCCACCGTCCCTCGACGGGCCACCTTCGGCTTCCCGGCGGAGCGGCAACGTCGCTGCGGGAAGCATAAGTTGGCGGGCATGTTATACGCCACAGAGCTGGTGAAAAAGCGACACGCCTCAGCGCAGAAGCGGAACGGAGGCACGCCCGGGGCCAAGAAGAAGGCGCCTGGCTTGACGACCAAGTCGGCGAGAGCGCGGGCGGCATCCCGACACCCGTACATGGACGAGGACGAGGACGAGGACGAGGACGGGGGATGCACGGGCCATGAGGAAGCTGAATACGAAGTGGCAGCCACGGAGGACGACAGGGAGGACGACTTTCTACCCAAGCCCTCCAAGCGTCGCCGCAATGCCCCTTCCCCCACAGCCGCCGCCTCCCCGAAGGTAGCCTCTGGGGCGGACAGGAAACACGACGAGCCCACCAACTCGGCCTTCCCTTCAGGACTGGCGGCTGCGGCCGCTGCGGCAGCCGCAGGTTGCGTGGCATTGACCATGACAGAGGCGGACGAAGAGCGAGAGCAGCAGGTGGACGTGGGCCCTCCCTTGACGGATGACGCGCAGCAGCAGATGCAAGCGCAGGACCACCCCCAGCACCATGGCTACATGTACCCGTCCAACCACTTTCAAACCCTCTCGCAGCAAGGGCCTCCCTCTATCAATCACCTCCTGGACGGCGGGGCCCCCCAGAGTTTCAGTGACTTAGCCAACCACCCCAGCGTTAGTCTCACTGCTTTAGGGGAACAAGCGAACGAGGCTTTCCGCTTCTTCATGTCAAAGGGCAGTTCAGGCGACATGAATTTCCCTGTCCAGCCCTCCCCCGCCACCGCAGCAGCAGCTGCTGCCATCGCAGCCGCCTTGCCGCCCCATATGCTTATGCCGTCCGCTCCTTTGCTACAACCGCTTCCCCCTGGCGCCATGCCCTCTTACCCACCGCAGTTATCCTCCCCTTCCCGCGAGGCAGCTACCACGGCTACTGAAAGCGGTGCGGATGCCCAGCAAGACCAAGCCGTGCGTTTCGACATGCTGGTCGAGGCGGCCGCTTCAGGGAAAGGGAGAGCGAAGGACCAGAAGGCGGGGGAGCGGCCAAATGTATACCTCTCTTCGGAGCAGGGAATGGAAACCCAATCGCAGCCAACGCAGCTTCACTCACAATACGGTACCCATTTGTTGAATAGACAATCCGCGTACTCCATCCAGCACCAACAGCCGCAAGAAACGATGCAAAATCAGCATCAGCAGCATGAAGGATCACCTCCTTCCCACGACGCTCTAGGGCTGACGCAAAGTCGGGCTTTGTACCAGGCGCCACAACAGCAACAAAGTCAACTCCAGCTACTTATTCAAAGAGCACAACAGCAGCAGCATGCTCAACAGCACGGGCAACAGTACCACTACCATAATGATGCTTTAAACCAACAGCAGCAGCTTGAGCAATACCCTTCCGATCAGCTTCAAAGGCAACAACAGCACCTCTCGCACGTCCAAGTGGACAACGGGTGGGGCGATCTCGGGAGCCCGTCCCCGGGGTTATGCCTGGGGGGGATGGAGGAGGCGTTCGGCCGTTCTCCTTACGGAGGCACCACACCCAAGGCGTACCAGCAACTCATGCATCTTGTTAGCCTCGGCGGCGACTACAGCAATCAAACTGCCAATACAGGAAGCGGAGGGATGGGTGGGGAGCTAGATATGCGGAGCAAATATGACCATGGCCTCCGCTCGGTATGGGCTGGCGATGTCGCCGTCGTCATCGTCTTGCGTTCACCGCAAGGATCCCTTTCTGGACTCGCCTCGCTCACCAAGGACGTTGGTTTTGAGCCCGCGGATGAGGGCATTTACTTTGTGAAAAATGTCACTACTTGTGATCAGTCCGCCAGAAACAAGGGCGACAGGGAATGCTTTAGGCGAGAGCTCCACCGCTTGTCCGACTGTCTTCTCCCGGCTCCTGCCTCCAACTTTCAGTCTGCCCAATCGCAGCTCGTTTCCACGGTGAGTGGACGGACAGGCACGGCAAAGGAAAGTCAGCTGTCCTTTTATATAGATCAGCACAAGCAGGCGCTCGGATTGGGCGAAGACGCTTACCTCTCCGAGCAGATGGAGACTGGCATGGGCCGAAAGCGTCCGGCTCGGCGACTCATCTTAACATGGGACCCCTCTGGT